ACTGGAGTGCAGTGAGAGTTGTTCTGTACAACCCAAACAACCAGATGAGCTATGAAGGGCCATCTCCACTTAGGGACGAGCATGTACAGGCTTTATAGTTCAGGTTAGCAGGATGTAGTAGCTACTGATGCGCTCAGTGCTGTATTTTAGTGGCACTGATGTGCACCTTGCTAACCTGTTGTGGTAAAGTCATCTCCCAATGATACTTGTGTAGATACTGAAGCATAGTTTCTGTACAGGCTGTGCTGGTCTCTGGCTTAGCATCATGATGGAGGCTCTCAGAGTTTTTTCATTTTACGGGGTTATGGATTGGGAAAGGCTGAGAACTCTGCTGGAGGGCTGAGCGTACTAACTAAACTTAGTCGCAAAGATAGTCTACTGCTGAAATGCTGGTAAGGAAACCTGGCTGATGTGTAGAGGTCTTCAGGGTGTGATAACTTTGAAATAAATCTTCTTGTAATTCATGCTAATAACCACTTAGTATATCATAATTAAGCTATTAAAGATGTACTTTCTGTGATTGAATAAGCTATGATACATATAGCTATAATGACTTAATGTAAAAAATAAAGGGATGCGCCAGTAATGTTTGTGAAAAAGTGAGGCTTTAATAAACCCCCAGTTCAGTCTTTTAATGTAGAGTTCTTATCTTCCCCTCGCTCGTGTTTCTTATCTTCCTGTTTTGACAAGAACCTTCTTGAAGTGTAAGGCATAACTTTATAGGGATTAAGCTTGTTTTCTTGTGGTTCATTAAAGAAACCCTAAACAACCAGGGGGAAAAAAAAAGGCAAAAAAATATAAATAAATATCAACCCCAAATTTCCCCTCAGTGCTGTTTGTAACATGGTACAACTTAAATGTTTCACACAGACAATATATTGGATAGGAGTAGTAACATAAGGAAGTTGAATGGCTAGTGCAAAGTTTTTATGTATGATTTAGTTATGCTTCCTGTGCACCTGAGCTAAACAAGTACAGTTTAGTTCCTCCATGAAATCAGAAGTTATGTAACAGAAGGCTGAAAACAGTACTGATGGATAATCACTGTGAAGCTGGTTGTGGTAGTTTTGAGATATTGTCCCTTTGCCAGAAATTGCCATTCCTGCTCATTTAAGTTGTTACTAAGCATGTTTTAGTTAACTAGACTGTGAATTTATAATTAATTGGATGGAGTTATACTTAGATAGTCTGTGGGTGGTAACCTCTGCTAGAAGCATTGTATAAAATACAGGGAATAGTAACATCATGGCTGTTCAATCAGTGATTGTTGGATTGAGGCTGAGATAAAATTTCTGTTTTCATGATGCTGTACACTACCAGGCTCAGGTGTGTTTATTTTTGTCTTTCATTTTCTAGGAAAAATTACTATTTGAGCCATTTGAGTTATTAAACATGAAAAAGAAGTTTGTTTCTGGGTAACTTAGAAGCACATGTAGTTTTAACCTCCTACTTGTCATATGATTAGAGCTTAAAAAAGGGAGTAGTCACTTGGCAAATTACTATTTTGAGATGTTGGAATTCTAGGTGAAAGATAGCAAATAGCTGAAAACATGTTTTATATAATTCATGGTCTTCAGGAAAACATTGTTGGCAACAACAGTGTGAAGTTTGAAACCAGGCAACCCTCCCCTTCCCCACACACATAGTTCTGCAGCTTTGAGGTGGTGAAGCTAGGTGGCACCAGTGGAAATTCTCCTTGCCTGTGTAAAATTGCCCCCAATGTGTATTTATTACTGCTGCTCATTTGGTAAGCACGTTTTTGTGTATGCTGTTTTAAATTAATCCATTTCAGCATGTTGTAAAAACAAATACGTATCCCACACATACTAATACACATAATCCTTTACTTATAATCCACACTTTCAACCGGTCTCCCTCTTTTCTAGATATTTGAGTTACTTAATGCAGATGAAAAACTCTTGAGTGCATGTGGGTGCTCTTCTGTGTGGCCTGGTCTGTCATAGGCTGAGTCACATGGACACATCATGCATACAAACATAGATATCATTCCTCTCTTTCTTTAATATGCTTTTAATATTTTTCAGAGGAGAGCAAAAATGTTAATAAATTCATTGTGTGTTTTCCTTACTGATGAAGTTCAGTTAAAATATTTTCCTTGATAGCTTACATCTAGCTGATGTTATCTAGAGGCAGAGCTAAAAGATCTTTTTCAGCTACGACTTTCACCCACGTATCTCTGCTGAACTCAGAATGCAGATTCAGTATTGTAAGAGATGTAACTTTGCTTGTTGGCGATCATTCAGGAAGAAAAGTCAGTCTAATCTCAGGTTTCAGGCTAAGCTTGCAAAGCCACCAAGGAATCTATTGCTATAACTGCAAAAAGAAATAAATTTCTTAAGGATGCTGTCAGGACCTGAATATTTTGACAGCTATGTCACTTCAGATTTTTCCAGAGTAAATTTCTTGAAGGAAGTCTTCTAAATTAAGTTTGTGTGACAGAAAATAGCTAAAATTGGAACACCCAAACAAAACTTTGCAGTGCATGTTCACCGGCCAGAATTTGACTTAAGTTCTTTATGAGGATACTAGTTATTAAGCAAAAATAAACCGTGCGGCTAGTGAATTAAAATGCTGAGACTTAATTTACATTATCTAAAAGCCTACTTAAAAAAGCATTTGATCAGCTGTGGTGCTGTGTAGTAGTCTGATACTTAAGGGTTAGATATTGCTCCACACACTGCTGTATATTGGTCATGTAGGTAGATATCTTTTCCTGCCATTAGGCTGCAAATCTTGCTTGTCAGAACTTTGAGGTATTGAATTGCAGATGAGGTGTTTCTCCCTGGACACAGAATAGCTGTCAACATTTTGTTCAGTTATAGGCAACACTGAGAACAGTGCTAAACTTTTGAGTATGTGACACTTGAAAGCTTATCTGGGTTCACAAAAAAACATAACGTCTGGGAGCATCACCATAAACCAGTGAAGTTTAGAAGGTACTTGTAATTGTTTCAAATAACTTTTTTGTATTCATTTATTGGCTAAGCCTCACAGTTCTTGGTGTGGTGGGTTTTTTGGTGGTTTGTTTTGTTTTGGTGGGTTTTTTGGGTTTTTTTTTTGCACACGGAGATGACAATATATGTGTAAGTAACTCATTAGGCAGTAAAAAGATTAAAACAGAGAAAAACTCTCCATGTATCTTTTTTGTGTATATCATCCTACACATCTTTGAGAAGAGGGATTTAGAACGGTACTGTACCCAAAGCATTTTCAGTTTATCTAAAGCCCCTCTGCCCTGCACTGTTTCAAATTTGAGATGTTGCAGAGGCTATCTAACAAGCAGACATCTAGCTGATGTATGTTCTCCATGATTTTTGTAAACTATAGAAACTTTATGTTCAGTTAGTGTTTTGAGAATTCAGTTAATACTCGTAATGGTAGGTAAGCATTATTGTAGTCTTCAGGTAGCATTCTTTTATTATTTTGTAATTAGGCTATAGTCACAGTTGCTTTTAAGTAAACTGAATTGGTTAGAAAGCAGTTTCTCTTTGTCAGATAGTAGAATGTGTGTGTATATTTATGGCCTGTATAGCTACAAAAAACTTTCTTTCTTTTCTTCACCGATTGCATAAAGCAAGTGGCATCTGACAGAGAAACAATGTGAGGCTGTATTACATCTGTCTAAAATTGCCCTTCAAGTCAAGACAGCTTTACTAAAATCATTAATTTCTGTCTGAAGAAAAATGATATTTTTTTTTTCCTTGCTCAAGCTTGCAAATCTTCATAGGATATCTTCCAAGAAGTTCATGAGCTGTAGCCTAGAAGGGATGGGTATACAAGTGCCTGTTAGAGGTGTGATTGTGTTTGGAGACTTGTTTTGCAGCATAGTAAATAGCTTGAGGCTTCAGCATTTTTTAAAAGAACTGTTCTTGAATCATCTTCATACCCGTATTCTAGTACTTAATTGCATTGCTCTGACCATGCTGCATATGTCTATCTGGTTATCATTTCACTGCTGATCATCGACGACTTCCCTATCTTTTAAAGCCCAAGGCTCATTTCATTTCTGAACTTAACAGCTGATCATCCTAATGTTCTCTGCTGGGTAGTTGAATTGTCTCTTGTCAGCCTTTTTATTTGAAAGTACTAAATGTCAGCTGGCTGGCTAATTGAGAAATTGAAACTGTTTTTAATGAATTGGGCAAAGCCCACTGGAATTGTCTGAGAAGACAGTTGTGCATTTTTCAGTGCACATCTTTGGAATCAGTTTGTTAATTCTGAAAGCAAGTCTTTTTATTAATATAAGAACTGAAGATGCTGCAGTCATGGCTTCCTTTTAAACCGATAAGTTATGTATTATTAAAAAAAAGTACCTGTGATTTGTAGAGCTTCTACTTGAGTAAAACTGAAAGCATGGAAACAGTTCAGTTGCAGCTTCAAATAATGTGCATTAGAGTGCAATTTTCTATCCTTACTGAGTTCTGACAGTGTTGTAAGAAAGTGTTTGGCTAGTCTTATGCAGCATGTTGGGTTTGAAGGAAGACATGGCAACAAGCCAAGAAAGTGAAAATTAGCAAACAAGTATTGACATTTTTATACATTAAGCTACCCTGCAGGGTTATGTGTTCACTAAATTTTAAACCATTGTTTTAAGAGTAGAGGAATGGGAAATGAAAATAGCACTAGCTCTTCTGATTCTTTGTTGAAGGCTGTTATTATCGTATCCCCGTACATTCTAGCTGCTATGGTTACCAGCTAATTTACTGACAATCAGCAGATAAAGTTTAGACATTGTTATGTACATGAAGTACATTTTTAAAAAATTATGTAAATTCTTCCATGTACATTTTCCACAGTACTAAGGGTTGTACTTTCTTTTGAAACTTCGATCAGCTGCATCCAAAAAGTATTAAATAAAACTTTTCATACAGGTCATTTGCAGCATGTATACAAATTAGTTTAGATAAATCATGCATTGTCCTACAAACTAGTTATTTCTGGCTTATTGTAATATAGCTCCTGAATTTTTTCCAGCAGCATAATAAAATGGCTAATCAGGTGAATGGTAATGCGGTACAGTTAAAAGAAGAGGAAGAACCAATGGATACTTCCAGTGTAACTCACACAGAACACTACAAGACACTGATAGAGGCAGGCCTCCCACAGAAGGTGGCAGAGAGACTTGATGAAATATTTCAGACAGGTATAATATGCATTTCTTGTTTCTGACTGGTTATGAAAGTGAGGGCATACCATTTTCAAATTTTTATAGATTAAGGTTTAAAAAAGTCATTGTTTTTGATCTGTGTAGCTCTGAATGTTTTGCTACTTTGACTTCCCTACAAGCAAATTGGGTTTGACATTGACTAATTACTTGACACATCCTTAGTGTTGTATGTGATATCTTAGTTGCTTTAGGGCACGGAGCACTAGTTTCTTCGATGTTGTCAAATAAAGATGTATGTTCGAGCATACTAAACTGTACTTTTTTTTTTTCTTCAATCCGAATTATCATTTTGCTTTTACTTTTCTACTGTCAACTCCTCACAGTGGTTCTTAAACACTCAAAGGCTGGATAGGTGACTTAGTGAGGGAAGCAACCAGCTTGTCTTGCCTGGGACTACATTTGAATTGAGTCTGCCTGTGGATTTTTTGTTCTCTCCAGTTCTGAGTGGACAGTTTAATCCATGTTGGTTATTACACCGAAATGTTCAGTTTGACACTAACTGCTTTTCAACAAAGTAAAAGACTAAGCTATCTAGCAAATCGAGTAATACCTTGCTGGTAGCAAGTGGTCTCTGCAACTTCTAGAGAGGTTTCTTTATATACAAAGGTTTTTCTATTTTGGTTTTTTGTAACCCCCTTATTATTTTGTCCTATAGACAGAGGCTTCGTTTTCCTCTTTAGAGTGTGTTCTGTGAACAGATTTACAAGAAGCAGTAGAAATGCCCTATGCGCTGACTTGAATGCCTTGGTGGCAAGATGAGAGTTTTTGTTGAAAAGAGTCAAAATTCCACTGATCAGGTGAAGGCAGTTCAAAAACAATACCTTGCCAATCTTCAGTATGATACTCTGGCTCAGGTGGATGATGTCTTTTGGAAGTCATTCACAGTGAGCTTTCATCAAGCCTTTAGCAGCTTTTATTGGCTTTAGACATGCACTTTCTAACTGTGGGTCACAATGATGTGCACTTGATGGTTTGAGAGAAGGTATAAATGCCTGGGCAGAGGAACTTGTGGGGCTGTAACACGTGTTGCAGTTAGGTTGTGTTGTGAGGAGTTCTCAAGGGATTTAAAAGCTTTTCAGCCCAGAACTTGGCTACCTAGTATAATTCCACTGCATGAGTAACCTGAAAACATTTATTCACACTTCCTTAATGCCACTGAAGATGTTCGCATTGTGCAGGGTTTGTCAGTGAAGCAAACTACTTGTGACACCCGAGCTAAATTTGGGGTTGAACTTTGGGATTTTTAATCTGCTGAGGTCTTACATGAAAGATACAGGTGCCTTCCAATATGCAGGATCACTTCTGAAATGTAGTCCTTGGGCTTGGCACTACTGTGCATTTTTGAAATCAAGTAGCAGTTAAATCTGTGTATTTTTGGACATCAAGCTGTTGCAAACTATGTGGAGTTCTTGGTATCTGTCCTAAATTTCATTGTGTAGTTTAAAAAGTGCAAATCTTAGTCTGTACTTCCTATGCTCCACAGCTTATGTGGGTGCATTATGAAAGGAAAGAAATGACCTGTAAAGATCCTTAAACAGAAGAAGTGCTTCAGAACTGGTCCAGTGTTTCTTGGGAGAGTCTGTACCTGTAAAATTAACATTATCCTTTTCGGGTACATAGCAGGACTCGAAATAATACCTTTTTGAACTCTAGCTCTTGAACTGCATAGAGCAACAAAATGAGTAAAAAAGAAAAAAAATTAGACATATAGGAAGTCTGCTGATTTTTGCTTTTTGAAGTTGGAGGAAAGACTGAGCAAACCATTCTACTTCCTAATATTTTGTGGGATAGAGCTTCATAAGTATTTGATCATCAGTTAGCTAGCTCCTTTTTCATGTACAATAGGATACCTGTAATGTTCACATGTCAGCTTACTCTAGAACAGCTCCATTCAAGGGAAGGAAGTGAAATGAAGGAAATGAAAGACAAACAAACAGAATCCAAATTATTAGAAGTGAGCCAGAGTTCACTGTTTCAAACCCTGGTGTGTAATACTGCTTTTATGCAGCAGATTGGATTCCTGAGCGTTAGAAAGCTGTTACACAAGGGGTATAATCTTGCACGTCAGTTAGTGCTTAGGTATATGCATTTTAATTTAACTTTTTTCATTGTTGTACTCATGTTCTTTCATATACTTGTGTAGGAAAATGTAATGATATTAAATGTATAATTCTGTTGCTATGGAACGTAACTTTTTGACTTTAAAAGAAAACTGCATAGTACTTAGTTTTTATGAAATTCAATAGAAATCTGTAACTTCTTTATCTTTAACTTTTAGGGTTGGTAGCTTATGTCGATCTTGATGAAAGAGCAATTGATGCTCTTAGGGAATTTAATGAAGAAGGAGCCCTCTCTGTATTACAGCAGTTTAAAGAAAGTGACCTGTCGCATGTACAGGTAAGGTGAGAGCTCCAGGAGTGTGAGCACATAAGTATAAATAGTGTTCTGGCACTATTGGTAGGAGAGTTGTAACTTAGAAATTCATTGATGTTGCTGTATTCTAACATTTCAAACCCAAGTCACAAGCCTGTTAAAAATTGCCTTAAGTGTGTAGGTATCTGAATGCAAAGCAGAAGCTCCCAGATAATAGAAATGAGTGTGCTATTGAGAAAATAAGGTAAAAATACTACCTGGAATCTGGTGATTTTTGCAGTCTGACAAGTTTATTCACTTAATTGATATATATTTTTCTAAAGGATTCTCTTGATATTTTTGTTTATTGCATTGGCTTGATATAGTGACCTCAAGGTATGGAGTGTAAGATTCAGTGGATTCCCAGGGCTTTTCATACGCATAATTGAATTATTTTGTAAATTGTATCTACAGAACAAAAGTGCATTTTTATGTGGAGTTATGAAGACCTACAGGCAAAGAGAGAAACAAGGCAGCAAAGTACAGGAATCAACAAAGGGACCAGATGAAGCAAAGATTAAGGTAACATTTAGAAAATAAGGATTATTCTGTACTAGCTGGTATATTACCTGTATGCAAACTGAAGTAATTTTTGATCTACTTAAAAAGTATCAATACTGCCTGGATAAGTGTATTCACACTTGGCTTTAAAGAAATGTATGCATGATAGAGATTCAAAAGAGAGTGCTTGTTTGAAATACGGATCTTCTTGATTACAGAATTGCCAAAATGCATGAACTTAATGTTAGGTAAGGTCTATGAAAATAGTGGTATGTATTTAAGAATTGTCTTAGTTGTCCTTTTATATTAAAGCTTTTACGCAGTCATAAAATTACTTTGAGACTGATTGGACGCTTCAACAAGGTATTAGTATATTAAGAAACTCTGTTGTGCAAAAACCGAAGTACAGAGTAGGTGAAAAGAGCTGCCTGGTGTTCTTGGGGTACTACATATAAATGGAAAATGAGGGGAAAGAAAAACAAGTTCTTTCCAGTGACCTTGTAGTATAAAACAAATGTTGCTGTTTATGGTGGTGGTTTTTTAACCCCCCCAAATAACAGGGTTAGTTTTTTTTGTAGGTTCTGTCTGTCCATATACACATTACCAAATGTGCAAGGAGCAGATAAGGAAATGCTTATCTTAGGGCATGTTTTTTTGTTCTTTATTTTTTAACCTGCTATGCTTCCCCCCCCCCCCTATAACTAATGTGACAATTTTTTTTCAGGCTTTGCTAGAGAGGACTGGTTACACTTTGGATGTAACTACAGGACAGAGGAAATATGGGGGCCCTCCTCCTGATACTGTATATTCTGGTGTTCAGCCTGGTATTGGAACAGAGGTTAGTATATACAGACTAATCTATTGTTTTGTTTGTGCAGACTGATAAAGAAGAGATACTTGAAAATAAATAATATTACAAGTGAAAGTTTAAAGTAGTATAGAGGAAAGCATTCTTCTATGTTTGTGTTTTAATCATTCTTTCTTACTCTTACTTGACATTAGGAAACATTTCATTATAGGGAGCGTGGTCAAACACGGAAACAGGCTTCCTAGAGAGACTGTTGATGCCCCAAGCCTCTCGATGTTCAAGAAGCACTGGGATAATGCCTTTAATAATACGGTTTAACATTTGGTCATCCGTGAAGTGGTCGACCAGGTGGACTAGGTGATTGTTGTAGGTCCCTTCCAACTGAACTGTTCTACTAATGACTGAAAATACTTGACTGATCTTAAGTATTCTGTCCTGTTGGTGGTGGTTAGCCTCTCTAGGAAGTCACAGGAAAGCCGTAAAGTTGGTGGCACTTTAATACTTTATATTTTTGTACTTCTAAGTTTCCTGAAGCTTGTTAGAACAGGTAGCTTGTGGAAGCTCCCTTAAGATAAGAACGTAAATGCTCCTGCATTAGAGGCTGTAGCAAAACCCAGCCAACTATAGAAACCATATCTCTACCAAATTAACTTTTCTGGCATTTTGTAGGTTTTAAAGACTGAATACTGCTTTAGAGATGCTGAACACCTTGCTGAAACATGTATGCTTTATTAAATCTAGTCTTTAGCTCTTGCTGTTGAGCTCTGAGGCATAGTAATCAACAACTTTAAATATGATTTGGTAGACTAGGCAGAGCATGTTTGAACACAAGTGACTGGAAGTTATTGTGGCACACACCACCCCTCCACCCCAAATGAGGTGGGGTGTTTTGTTTGTGTGGTGGTTTTTTGGTTTTAGCCTTTTTTGTTTTGTGTTTTTGGTGGTGTGTTTTTGCTTTTTTGTTTTGTTTTCATTTTCTTAAGATTTTGAGAGCAGCTTCTCTTCTGTCCTCAATAGTTCTGGTTATACAGGGGTATAAATACCTCTTCTGATACTGTGGGTAAAAATATGAAAGAACACGAGATGTATCCCTTTGGATTGTGGCAGTGAATCTTTTGTGTTTGAAGCTCTCATAGCTCACACCAGCTCACGTATACTGATGCCAGAGCTGTCACTGATGTCAGTAATAGCAAACCTCTGATTGCTAAGGATACCCAAGTGCTGTTACTGATTTCAAGAAGACACCTACTAAGTAGACTTCTTTCCCCTCAAGGTTTAGCAGATCTTCCTGCTGTAAATATTTGTAGACCAACTACTTTGTCTTTTTAAAACATAATGTGGAATTCATTACATGTTAACTGTAGCTTTAACTCTTTCAATACATACTTGAACATTGTGCATAAAACTAAAATATTGATAAATATTCTTACATATGTTCAGCATGTTGAATGTTCACAAATTGTCACAGTGAATGTTTTGGATGTCCAATGTATTTTTTCAAGTGGGTAGGCTTTAAGAGCAGCTGGACCTTTCTGAAATGTGATTCTGTAATAAAGACAAAGTAGTTACAGCTGTGCAGAAGCTTGGATCAGAAAAAAAATTGCAATAGGATTTGATATTAAACTTGAGCATTTATTTTATTTAAGGACTTGCTGCTCTAGCGTAGAGCATTTTGCTTATAGTGAGGTCATATGATGTTGATATTTGGAGATGTTTATGGGAGTGTTTGAGGAGAATAGAAGCAATTATTTGAGTGTTTCCTTCTCTCCTTATGCTGGCTTTGTCATTTGCATCTGCAAACATTGATAACTGTTTATCCTCAAGGGGCTTGTACAGTGCTCCTTTTTTTTTTTTTTTGCTTAAAATTTCTAAGATCTTTTCTCTCTGCTTTTTCTTACCTGCTGTTACTCCAGCTGTTCTTAAAGACGGTCAGAAGGGTTTTAAAGATTTATTTATTTATTTATTTTCCCCTTCCCAAAGGACAAAGTCTAGTCAGTAAGCACACGGGGATATTCAAGGTCATTATTGAACCTGTGCATCTTGCTAGCAAACTTCAAATGGCTTGAGCTGTGTATTTCCTCGCTTACCTATCCTGCAAGGTTTCAGTCCCTAGCAAGTTGTTTTGTAGTTTATTCTAAACACTTTGAATACTCTCAATCACACTGTTGTGACTAGTCTTTGATACAGGAGTTCTTTTGGAGGTGCTTCTATAAACCACCAGATTATATTTAAGAAAATGGGCAACTTCTAGAACTTCCTTCAGGTTATAGATTATTTTCCATTCTTTGAGATGCTGAAGCTTTTATGTATACTGTGAAGAAGATGCTTAGAAGCATCACAGTAGGGATGATTTCTAATGGAAATATTTGTATTCCATGAAGAAAAATGAATTCCTTGGCAAGGGGAAATGATTAGAATGGGTCCTTGAACTGAAAGATGGTAACTGGTGATTTGCATAGCTTACCAAGCTCTGCTTACGTATGCCTGCTCTATGCTAATTGTAGTTTATTATTTTACTAAAGTGTATATGCAAGCAATGCTGAAAAAGGAGTTTTTTGGTATTCTTAAATTGATTTTTTTTTTTTTTTTTTTTTACACAAAACTACTTGAAGTTGTCTTATTGTGGTTTAAAATAAGCCAGTTCAGCACCATTGGAGGGTGCATTGACAGTAGTAACATCTACATAGCAATTTCAATAACTTTTGAAATTAAGTGCAGACAAGACAGGGAAAGAAAATGTTACAAATATTCCATTCAATTCAGTGACAGCAAGGAGTTGTTTAAGTGTATAAGGAACAAAAGGAACTTTCATCCTAAGTCCACTACTAGTTAGGGATGATGATGTTTTCATGCAAAGAAGACAAGCATTCAGTGTTTCAGTTGGATAATGCTGGGTGGTAGGTTGAGCATGGTATCTGTAGTGTCTGCATTTTTGGGTAGTATCAAATGAGGTTGAGCTGTACTTGCTAAACAGGTTAAAATACATATTTTTCCCTCCTTCAGTCTGCTGATTGAGGAGCTTGTAGTTGTTAAATTCAGGAAAACTGAAGGATTTTTTCTTTCTTTTTTTTCTTTTTTTCTTGTTTTTTTTTTTTCTTTTTTGTAACTAATGTTACACCAAAAATTAAGGAGAAAATGAATAGAATACCATTTAAGACATGATTTGGAGAACAGGAGGCTTCATTGGAAAATGAAGAACACCAACCCTTTACCTAACTATAATAGGGATAGGAGGAAAGTGCTTTTCAAAATTGGTATGGTGCAGCTAGCATGAAGGGGGTAATTGGCTTAAGTCTCTACTAATTGTTGGATTTGTTTCAGTTTTATTGAGAGGTCTCCAGATAAAGTAAGTCCAACTCTTGAAGTTCTGAGAGACTTTTATTTCAGTGTTTTTTCAGTGATATGAAATAAAAACTTGAAAATTCTGTGACTGGATTATTTGCCCATAATGAGCTAACATGATGTGCAAGGTTAGGTATCTATATGATTAGACTGTATAGAATGGAGGAATTGCTAGGTGTCCTTTTCAGAGCTGAAATTTACTGGATAAGTACGATAAACATAATCTTTGAATGTCGTTATCAAAAATGCAAAATTACTTTTAGCTCTGTGAATGGTAAGTTGGTATTGCATCTGCTCCTCTGTGGGTACATGGTCAGAATTTGTAACAAAGTCAGAGAAGGGTTGTGAGGCTAACTTGCAATCTAAAGAATGATATATTACTGGAGATGTTGGGGAATTTAGCCTGCTTTTGTCCAGAATCAGACACACTAATAACTCTAACTTAAGAAGTGTTAGTATAATAATCCAGCAGGAGTTGAACTAGACAAAGCTTGTGCTGGATTTAGCACGCAAATGGAATGCCACTTTTGTACTGAAGAACTGTGTAGGTTCAAATGTTTCTCCTCTGTGCCAGAGTTTTTTTCCATTTCCATTTTTTTAAATGAAGATTGTAGGTTTGGATGATATAAAGGAGTCATGCGGCCTACATTAATTAATGCTTAAATTTGGCATTTAGGAAAAATTGACTGCAGAGCACATGAAGAGCACTGTTAAAAGGAGAGAGGTTTTGAAGAAGCTCTTGCAATGCTGCAGTACACTTCTGTTGTCACCGAAAGCTAACAGAAGAGGCTCAGTTGTTGAAATAACTGAAGGACGCATCATCTAGTGGATTGCACCCCTCAATAATATTTAGTAAAGTTGTTCAGGAAACTGAAATTGAATTTTTTCCTAGTTTAGGCTTTTCATAATTAATCTTCTGAAACAGTAATAAGGAAGAAGTAAAGTAGAGAACTTGATTACTTTCTTCAGATCCTCTAGGAAGCAAAACTGGAAAAAGTAAGTCTTATGGCCAGTGATTCCCACGAAGGCTCAGCGGTGACGCAGTTGCATCCTACTAGGTCTCTTATATTGTTTCACTGATAATGCCAGTTTTCAAAGTTTTTCCACAGAACTGGTGTTGTGGAACTAAAAGAAACAAGATGATATTTACATTCTTTGGTATTTCAGCAACTTTATTCAAGCTTATCAACATATCTAAACGAAAGTGATGGAAGATGTTTCTTCTGACCGTTGCAAGATGTTCACCTGGTGTTTGTAGTGTCTAGTATTGATCTTAAAGTTCATTAACATATTAAGTTTACATGTTCAAAGCAAATTCATTTAGATGTGAATTACTCCCACAGAGTTATGTAGTCCTTCCGTTATAAATGGAATTTACTCTAGAATATAGGTCAGATATAAATGTATTCAAATTAAATCCTTAATTCTGTTTCTCATACTAGCTCCTAGAGTGTATTACCTGAACTGATCTGTAGTAGCAGTCTTGCGGAATTGGTGGTCTAAAGTTTGTAGAGAGTGAGCCGAAGAGACTGGAAAGGAAGGAGGAAACAGAAGCTTTCAGGATGGTAAATCTTTGCTAAATAGCTGGAAAAGTAGACTTTGTATTTGGATTAGGGTTTTTTCTTTTTCTCAAGCCTGTTCTCAAGCTTCCAGTTTCTGCTGGAAACAATGGCATCTGAAACAAAGAATTTAATGTTGAGTTTTTACATTTGACTGACTTAAACAGTTACAGTTTGTGGAGAGTTCAAGTGACAGTTTCACTGTCTTGGTGGCAAGTTGGAATTCCTGTCTTGTGCACGTCCAGTTTTTTGTCTTTAAAATCTGTGCATGGGTTTTGGAATGAAATCTTCTAGGTAATGACAATAGAAATACCTAACTGTAGGAATTTCTAAGCTTTTTGGGGAGACTAGGGGAAAGCCCGTTGGCTCTGGCATTAAATTTTCACTCTGTGTGATAAATCTTCTTCCTTTTTTCCCCCCAATAACAAATAAACCATGGTCAGTTGACATTCACACTGAACTGAGAGAGGCTAAGCTAAGAGAAAGAAGTGTTCTGGAAACTGAATTTCAGGAATATCTATATATTCCTATAAAGAATATACAGATAATATACAGAATATACCTATAAAGAAACATCTAAAGGTTCTAGTTTTCCTTTGGTGGAAAGTAATTTGTGTTCCACATTTTTTTTTAAATTACAGTCATCGTGGTCTCCTCATGGGTTTGTTCATATCAATGCTTACATGGGCATTGTGAGTGTCTTTAGTTTGGGAATTGTCTGCTAAGCCTTCAGTACTAGATAAGACTATGGCAAGGCCTTGCCTAGATGGAAAAGGTTGACTTCCAACTTTTTTTACTACAAAAAATATTTGAAGGTAAAATAAATAGAATTTGATCTTAATGGGTGTTTGGAATGTTTTGCTTGTTTTAGCAATTTGGATATTCTGAGAATTCAGAGGAGAGGTATAATGATAAAACAATTTGAGGAGGGGGAAGCTTTCTGAGGAGACCTCAGCTGAAGAAATTAAACTCCTTAACAAAACTTCACCAAAGTTTATTGTTATTGCTCTGTGTAAGGAACAAAAACATGAGGACTCCAGATTTTCTCAGACAAATACTAAAATGTTCAGTTGGTGGAAACTGAAACCCATGCAGGCTAGATATAAGACAACAGTATATACGAACAGTGGAAAATGTGTATTGGGCAATTTAAGGATTTTTGTAGACTTTTTTCCATCTCTGTAGTTTTCTGATGAAGATTGGGCTACAGAATGATTTGAAAATACTGCAAGAGCAAGAAAGTCCTTGGCCTGCTTTAATATAGGATACCCAGCTACATAGTCTGTAAGGTCTGTGTTTTCAATTGCCAAAACTGAAACCAGGTAAGAATCATTTACCTCTTCAGTAGCAGAAATTTACCACTTCTCAGTATAAATAACAAAACCAGGTTTTCCATATGTAAAACTTAGTACTACAGTAGGAGGTCTAGAAGGCTTAATAGGATATACAGTAATGTTGGCTGAAGGAATGGCTACAGTGTTTCTGCTGTGATGGTTTATGCTGCAATGTACTTCCTTTCCCAGGAACTTTGAAGTATGAAAAGTAAGTTTGGATTTCTTAAAAAGCCTTTTTTAAGTGTCCTCTTCCTTTTTAGGTTTTTGTTGGTAAGATTCCCCGAGACTTGTATGAAGATGAATTGGTACCACTCTTTGAGAAAGCTGGTCCAATCTGGGATCTGCGCCTCATGATGGATCCTCTTTCTGGTCAAAACAGAGGTTACGCTTTCATTACCTTTTGTAGTAAAGATGCAGCGCAGGAAGCAGTCAAACTGGTGAGTAACTTATTTTCAGACTGGACAAGATAATGTAGACAGCAAACCTGTTGGTAGTCTCTTAGATAATGAAGTGTGTCATTAAAGCATCCATTGACAGACTCAAAATTTTGTTTTCTTAAAAATTGCCTCCTGATTTGATTTAGTATATACAAATAATGTTCTACTTCTAGGACTGTAGTCTCCTATAGCCTGCTGCAGACTGCTGGAAGTATTTGGGTGATTGTAATAAGAGCTTACTTGATTACAAGTGGAAAATATATTCTTTAATCTTCATTGTGTTAAAGTTTATCACCCTTCCTGCTATAAAGAGCTAATTGGAGATGCTTTGTATTGCTGCTGCTGTGGAATAGGTCTCTGACTAGGCGCTCTTTATGGTTTACAGTGGCCTGTAGTTCTTCTCAATGGCAGTCATGCAGTAAGCTCACTACGTGGAAACCTGGCTTGGCCTGCATCTAGGTGATTTGGCAAAGGACACAGAGCAATCCCTAGAGAGTTAAAATGAGAGGCAGCACTCTGATTGGAGCCCTGGTTCATTTGGCCTTGCCTCTGCCTGAAAGGAGGCAGTAGAATTATGTGTAGCTCCCAAGGGTTTGGATGTGGCTGTGAAATTCTGCTTGTACTTTGAACCAAAACAGGTGAAATGCTTTATCTCATTTGCCTGAGCAGAGTTCAGCCAATCCTGATGAATGGGGCAAAAACCTAAACATCTAGTTAAGGTGGGTGGAAAAAAGCGCAACCCCAAAACCTAGAGAAAGTTATTCTGTTGTGTTGTAAGGGCTTCAGAAGGAGTCATTGCCTCTAAACGTTCCAGTGTTCATTCCCTCAAATATTTTCATGCGTTTAGAAATAGTTGAAGTTGTTAGGTTAGGCTCTTCCAGGGCTAGGAATTGCATGTCCCTGCTTAGGCTGTTTTTCCGTTCTAGAACCTACTTGGATGTTTCCTGAAAGAGATGCACAAATTATGTTTTTGCAATTTATTGCTTTTGGTTTCAGTGTTTGAAGTTGGTGGATATGAGTTACTGTCACCTGTGAAGGGAAAATTGCTTTGAAACTTTTTTCTTTTTTTGACCAAGTTGAAGGTGGTCAGAGGTATTACTTTAAATTTTTTACTGATTGAGGGAGATGAAAGGGAATACACTGAAGTGACAGGAGGTGTAGCAAGCAATGGGACACTGATGCAAGACTGGCCTCCATACTTTGGATAGTGCACCAAATAAGTGAATTTGTGTGAATATATTCCTGAAGTCTTGTATCCAAATTTTCTTCCCCCTCCTCCACTCTACCGTTATTTGGTAATGGGGCCAGGCTTGTATTTAGGTGAAATATTTTCCACAGACTACTGGGGAAAGGAAAATGGGGCAGACATATGCTAAGTTTTGGAGCTGATTAAACCTTGATAGCAAAGTGAGGTTCTTTAAGAAAGTAAACCTGAGATTTTGAAGTCTTGGATTCTCTACACCAGGTGGGCCTTCTGCTTGTGTTTGCAGGTACTAGTGGGAATGGGATTGGTTGTAGGTAAAATGTCTTTGTAAGGTAAAATATAATTCTCAAAGCAGATTCAGATTAAGTTCATGGCACTGGAACACAAAGTTTTACTGTGTTATGAATCACTGTTGTATGTGAAGCAACATTCTGAAACAGTTTTGTCTTCCTTAGTGATCTTGTCTGATAGCCTGTGGTACGTTAGCATTGTTCTAGTTGTTCTTGAATATGAGGGTTACTGAAGGCATTGCTTTGTCACCTGTATGGCTATGTCTCAGCTAGGGTAAAAATGGCTGAAAACTTGCTTTTAAAGAATTGGGTGAGGTTTTCAGAAGCTGGCTGATGATCAAACATCCATCCCCTTAGACTGTGTTTGAAAATCCTACCTAAAACAAGGATAATGTCTACCTTGAATTATTTTTTTTTTTTTTTTTTTTAAGGTTGAACATTTGTACCTTTAAAGACCTATCATGAGTGTTAGTGTTGTAATCCAACTGTGGATGAAGCACGAAGCAGTGGGCTAAATCTTTTTTAATGGGAAGTTTTAAAACTTAACAGTAAAATTCATAGTCCTAGTATTTACACGGTCAAAAAAAAAATCCCTGTGGTGGGAGTGAGGGGGGACAAGGTCACACACTGATTTAGACTTTTGAGTATCTCGCAGCAAATGCGCTCAGTGTTTAAAAGCTATCAAAGTAAAGTGGAAGAAAACATAGCATTGATACCATGAGATAATAATCATTATACTAATCTATAACACCGATTAATAACAGCAGCAAAGACTGACATTGATTCCCAGTACAGGAAGCAGTCACAATTGTCTAGAAAGATCTTTCAAGTCTCAGATAAACAATAGGGAATGAATTCACCCCATGCATTTTGTCTGTTACATGTTGTTCCTTGTACCTGTTTCTTTGTAGCTTTCAGTTCTGCAGAACTCCTGAAGTTTCTGTGGAAAACGTAAGCTCTGCAACGTTCTTCCAAGCAAATGCTGACCCAAATACTGCAGTTCTAGTGATTCTGTGGCAATGTGAATTCAATATGCTAGGTATAAAAATAGTACATCATGAAGAAAATAACTGATTTTATGATTTTGGGGATCTTTTTATCCACATTATTGTGGAAAAAGCAAATTATTGGCCTTTTATTTTCTCAGTGTGACAACTATGAAATCCGTCCTGGGAAGCACCTTGGAGTATGCATCTCCGTGGCAAACAACAGGTTATTTGTTGGGTCAATTCCAAAGAACAAGACTAAGGAAAACATATTGGAAGAGTTCAGTAAAGTCACAGGTAAGACCTTAGCAAGTTTGTCACGCTGATCCCAAAATACCATTCAGTCTGTCTTTTGTAGGTCTAGTTATTTGACAGATGTGTTCAGCTGTCATTTAAAACTATTTCTAAGTTGGATTCCAAGTTTATTTCTGGTAGAAATTTTATGTATCAGATATATTTTATGGTGAAGTGTAAAAGGACTAGTGTCTGTTTTACTGGTTGTTAAATGAATGATGTTGTAGTTTTAACAATTTGAGATGGAAATGGCACAAATGATCTCACAAAAAAAGTGAAGGTCTAATTCTGTTACCTGTTCTAGCTTCCTGTTAAAGGCTCTGTATTTATAACTGGATCTACAGTAGATTCTGCTCTCACAACTGAGAAGTATTGTTGAGGAATGATGAGGAAGAGGGAATACTAAAACGTTTTACAGGGAATGTTATTGTAGAAATAGTTAATGGCAGGTTAATTTCTGTCCTAGTTCTTCACTGTTTGCCAGTATATGCAGCAAGTAGGAAGAAAAGAAGTCAGCTCATCACTGGAAGGATGCTTCTGCTTTAAATAAGAGACTGAAGTCTTGATCGCTGCTCTTGTTCTTGTAGGAGAGTATTAACCTACTGCTTCTTTTTTAGGGTGGCTATTTGTAAGTACTTCAGGGAAATAGTGAAAATAGAAGGTGAATATACATGTAGTTCTCTCTTCTTTTTGGAGAGATGTGGAAGAAATTCTTTCCAGCTTCCCCTGGAGGCAGGGAGATGCCATGTATTAATGCTGATTGCTTTTCAAAAATATCAAAATGGTAAAACAAAATATAGAAAACTTACATTGTGTGAACTGTTCAGGTTGATGTTTTGCAGCGCCTAATTGTGAGGTAAGTTTGTTCTGGAGAATTTCACCTGCTAGGTGACCTGTGTCTGGGTAAACTGGATGGATATCTTTTTATTTTTCTTGCTTTTCTTGTGCTCCCTCTCCCTTTCAGGTGTTAAATTCAAGGCTGTGTATTACAAAAAACAAGTGAAGGCATTTTAGAGTAGACGCTAGATTTTTTTTTTTCTTCCTTTTGAAGCTTAATGCTAAAGACCTCTTTTTCAGAGGGTTTGGTGGATGTAATCTTGTATCATCAACCTGATGATAAAAAGAAGAATCGAGGATTCTGCTTCTTGGAATACGAGGATCACAAGTCAGCAGCACAAGCTCGCCGCCGCCTGATGAGTGGGAAAGTAAAAGTCTGGGGAAATGTTGTGACAGTGGAATGGGCTGATCCAGTAGAGGAACCTGATCCGGAAGTCATGGCAAAAGTAAGTAAAAACTTAACTGGGTGTTTCTGTGCTTTGGGAGGAATTTCTTTATGCCGTAGTGACAAAGACTTGTTCCAGCAGAGCAATGCTAGTTTTGAGGCATGAAAAGCAGTTACAGGGCATTTTCATCATAAGCCGTGCAAACTGGCATGGTCTGAGCACTGCAAATTAGTTGCCTGTGTAATATGTTAGGACCATGCTGTTGTAACAGACTGTTTACATTTAAACTAGTAGTGTGCAGCATTATCCTACTGGGTTGGCACATCAGTCTGCTCATTATCTGCTTCTGCTGATAGTGAATACTAGTGGGTATTCTGTAAAACTATTTTCCAGAGTGAGATGAAGGTGAAGTTCAGTGTAGGAGGGAATGACATGCTCTTTATCCCTGTGTTTTGGGATAATGCTTTGCTGCTCTTGAGGTCTATTACTAAAATGTTACTGGGATTTGTAGCATCCCAGAAGCAGAAAGTCAGAGTTGAATATTTTTCTGGTCATGGAAGGGAACCGTGGAAGGAGAGAAGTTGTAGAAACTTCATACAGGTAACTACAAGGCTATTTTTTTTTTTTTTTTTCAATTTGTACAGAATTTAAAGTTTACCCAAAATTTCTTAATGCAGAGAAGGAGGGAATACCATCTTACTAATTTATGTTGGTTTCCTTTGAGGTTTGACTGGTAAAGATTACAGCTTGCTTTCTTATTTTTTCATCAGGTGAAAGTTTTATTTGTAAGAAACTTGGCCACTACTGTGACAGAAGAAATTCTTGAGAAATCCTTTTCTGAGTTTGGAAAGCTGGAAAGAGTAAAGAAGTTGAAGGATTATGCATTTGTTCATTTTGAGGACAGAGGTGCAGCAGTGAAGGTACGTTGATTATTCTTTCCTGGCTAAACTGATGCGAGCAGTGGTATTAAAGTTTCTTTACGGTAAATATCTAGAAAAGACAACTTGTAGACCCCATTTAATAAGGTTCCTGTTGTAAGAATTTTAATGCTAATAATTTTGTTCATATGATTTCAGTAGCTAGGATGATGTGAAACTTGCAAAGGACAAAACTGTAGCAATTTAGCAAGTAGACTGGAAATGAGGTATAGACCAATGCAGGAGAGTCTAGAGAAGAGAGGAGAAAAAAAAAGTATCAACCTAGACAATTTTTCTGAGGAAACACTGACAGAATGTATTAGTTGTCTTTCAAAGACCCCTATTTAAAGGTTGTGTGTAGTTTTGGAGTGACAAAAGTACTGAATAGAAATTGCAAGGTAATTAAAAAAAAAAAAGCCTCGAGGAGGGCAGAAGAGTGGCAGTGACAACTCCCATTTTTAACTCTGCGTGCTCCCTAGAAGATTTCTCCCAAATGACTTCTTGGACATTGAAGGTCATTACTGTAAGCTTCAAAGGTGTCGTCTGCTGTATCTCAGAGCAGTTGAGAAGGTCATTAATCACTGCTGTTTGTACTTCAGTGGATTGAATTCTACAGAAATTACTCCATCTGTTTTTTAAATCCATAGTTTATGGGGGGAAGAAGGGGAGGAAGTGTTTTGCACATGGGAGTCTTGAGCAAGTATGTGGCTACCTAGACAGTTCGAAGTCTCTTTACTCAACCTTTATTAATAATCTTATAAGTATTTAATAGCTTATAATTTTCCTGCCCCTCAAAACAGGATTTAGCATACTCTTGAGTTTGGCTTTAGGATGAATATCACTCATTGGATAGATTTAGACCATGTCCAAGAGTGGGTAAGAGATTGTTGATGCAGAAAGGGTTAGCCAGCAGCACCTCCTGACACTTTTTATTGTAGTATGTCTTTAAACACCAGTTCCTCCCCAGTAGACCTTACTTCTAAATGCTGTGTAAGATTTGAGCAACTGAAAACTTGCAGCAGATGAGAAAAGGTAGATCAAATGCAGTACAACAGAACATCTCTAATGCTGTTCTTCTCCAAAACAAGCTGGGATCTGCCCAATGTGGCTGATTTATGGCCACTAAATTGGTTTATGAATTCTGTGAGATATTTTTGTGTATGGGTGTGGTGTTTGTTTTTTAATGAGAGCATTATTGTGATATTAATGCATGGAATTGGCTTATTGATTCCGGTGTCTACTTATTTTCATACCTTCTTTGAAATAAATCGCCATGATCTCTAATGTTTTTGAGGTAACTTGCTGTTCAGACCTGTAAAGTCTTTTGTTAATGCAAAAATTAGTACCCAGAAACATTAAATGCAAAGCGGGTAACTCCAGGTAAAAAATAAGGAAGCACTTTATGTGTGTATATTAAGTTCTCTTTGTGTGTGCATTTGATAATTACAAATTACTTGTCTGGAGGATTTTTTCCTCACTTGAGGAGTTCACCAAGTCTCAATATTTCTCCCCCTCCCCCAAGTATGTGTCCTCAAAAATAGTTGATTTCCTCTGAGGCACTCATGTAGCAGGTTCAACTAGCTAGGAAGCCCAAATATAAAAATACTCTTTCTCTTGTGTGCGTGTGCTCTACCTGGCTTACAAGTTCATGTCAGTGTGAGTAGTGAGAAATTCTGTTGATGTATTTCTGAAACATTTCTAGGGTATATCGGACCATAAAAAGTGATGGTGTTGTGTCTGATTTTTTTAAAAAATAATGCTTAATATGTTTTTATCCCATTCTTTTACCATATGATATAAAGACAATATTTTTTTAAATGCTGCTTCACTGTAACTGGTGAATAAAGTGGAATTGAAAGAATAATATGTAACATTCTGTTTAAGTAGCACAGAAACAAAGCACATGCATAGTTCAGCCTGGAGCAGCCCAACCATCTGGTTTCTATCAGTAAGTTTTAGTTTCCTTTTGAATGGAAACAAATTTTTAGTTGTTTCTCTTCTAATTTTTGTACAGGCTATGAATGAAATGAATGGGAAAGAGATAGAAGGGGAAGAAATTGAAATAGTGTTAGCAAAGCCACCGGATAAGAAAAGGAAAGAACGCCAGGCTGCCAGACAGGCCTCCAGAAGTACTGCGTGAGTGTTCATTCTTGCACTACTGTAATACTGCAGAATGAAGTTCTGCTGTAAAATATGAGCTAGTTTAGAAGAATCTGAATGACTTTTCTGTTCTTCATATTTTGTGTTGTTAATCAACAAAGGGAAATTTATACTTTCATTTGGGAGACTTTTGAAGATAAATAATTGCATGTTTCTTTTTCTTAATAGGTATGAAGACTATTATTACTACCCTCCACCTCGCATGCCACCTCCTATTAGAGGCAGAGGCCGTGGAGGGAGAGGTGGATATGGCTATCCCCCAGATTACTATGGCTATGAAGATTATTATGATGATTATTATGGTTATGACTATCATGACTACCGTGGTGGCTATGAAGATCCCTATTACGGCTATGATGATGGCTATGCTATAAGAGGAAGAGGAGGAGGAGGAAGGGGTGGGAGAGGTGCCCCTCCACCACCTAGGGGGCGGGGAGCACCACCACCAAGAGGTAGAGCTGGCTATTCACAGAGGGGGGCACCCATGGGACCGCCGAGAGGAGCCAGGGGTGGGAGAGGGGGTCCTGCACAGCAGCAGAGAGGACGCGGTGCTCGTGGAGCCAGGGGCAACCGTGGGGGCAACGTAGGAGGCAAGAGAAAGGCAGATGGGTACAACCAACCTGATTCCAAGCGCCGTCAGACCAACAACCAGCAGAACTGGGGCTCCCAACCCATCGCTCAGCAGCCGCTCCAGCAAGGTGGTGACTATGCCGGTAACTATGGTTACAATAATGACAACCAGGAATTTTATCAGGATACTTATGGGCAACAGTGGAAGTAGACAAGTGAGGAGGGATTGAGAATATTGGAAACATAGAATTGGCTGTAGCTCTACATCCTTCAAAACAAAATTGGCTTAATGTTTCATCCTTCAGTAGCGATTGGCTGCCATTTGTATTGGGCTGAAGAATCACTCTATTGTGTATATACTCAAGTCTCTTAGTTTTCTTTTTTCATAAATGCACTTGGACATTACTGGGCTTGCAGAATTCCTGAACTCCATATGGGGTTTCAATGCTTTTATCATTTTAGGCTTCATTTTAGCAGTTTAAAAGCAGGAAT